CCCACACGACAATTTCTAACCCGAATCCCACGGATTCCCCCCACGGCGCCCCCACCACGCCCCAGCACCCCCACCAATTGGAAGCTCAATTTTTTGAGCCCCCCCACACGACAATTTCTGACCCAAATCCAATCGATGCGCCCAGCCGCGCCCCCACCACGCCACGGCCTCCTCACCAATCCCACCAGCCCTTTGGGCGTGAGTGGTTTAGCGAGCTCTCTCTGTTCTCAACCCCCCTTCTTCCCCTTCGGGGAGGGGTTTACCCCTCCCCCTACCCCCTCCCCCTGGACCTGGAGAGGGGGTTTCGCGGGTCGTTGGAGGTGTCTTTTTCGACTCCTGGGAGGGCTAAAATTCGACACCACTCACGAGGATTCTGGCCCCGACGGGGGGGAGGAGAAAAGTGTTCGCCCCATCTGTGATCGATCGCCCGAAAGATGGCCCCAAGATACCTCCCAGACCCCTCCCAAAGAGCCCCAAGAGGCCCCAAGAGGCCTCCAAGAGGCCCCCAAGATGCCCCCAAGAGGCCCCCAAGAGGCCCCAAGAGGCTCCCCCGAGGCACCCAAGACGCTCCTGGAAGCCCCTGGGGCCGCCAAGAGGCCCCCAAGACGCCCCAAACGGCCTCCAAGAGGCTCCCAAGAGGCCCGAAGAGGCTCCCCCAAGGCACCCAAGACGCTCCTAGAAGCCCCTGGGGCCGCCAAGAGGCCCCCAAGACGCCCCAAAAGGCCTCCAAGAGGCTCCGGGCCCGAACGACTCACACCAGGACGAGGCGCCCGAACGACTCACACCACGAGGAGCCCGAACGACTCACACCACGACGAGGGCCCCGAACGACTCACACCACGAGGAGCCCGAACGAGTCACACCAGGAGGAGGGGCCCGAACGACTCACACCAGGACGAGGGGCCCGAACAACTCACACCACGAGAAGCCCGAACGACTCACACCAGGACGAAGAGCCCGAACGACTCACACCACGAAGAGCCCGAACGACTCACACCAGGAAGAAGGGCCCGAACGACTCACACCAGGACGAGAAACCCCAAACGACTCAAACCACGAGGAGCGCTTTCTCTCCCTCCTCCTCCGCCTCGTCCTTCTCCCGCTCCCACCACAAGGAGGATGTACAAGGAGGCGGGAGGAAGGAGGAACAGGGGAGATATGCGGGGGCAGGCGGAAACACGCCTGAAAAACACGACTGTCGGCATGCTCTGCAAGAGTTGCTGTTTTGAGATGGGCTGGTGGGGATACGCGAAGCGTGAAGAATTGAAAGCTCAATTCTTAAAGCCCCCCACACGACAATTTCTGGCCCGACTCCCACCGACGGCGCCCCCCGGCGCGCCCCCACCACGCCCAGGCATCCGCACCCATGGACAGCTCAAATTCTGGGCCCTCCCCCACACGACAATTTCTGGCCCGAATCCCACCGATACACCCCACTGTGCCCCCACCACGCCCTGGCATCCCCACCCATTGAAAATTCAGTTTTTGGCCATTCTCACACGCCACCCTCTGGCCCGACCCCCACCAGTACCCACCGCCGCGCCCCCGCCACGCCCTGGCATCCTCACACATTGAAAGCTCAGTTTGTGCGCCACCCCACACAACAATTTCTGCCCGAATCCCACCGATACCCCCCGCCGCACCCCCACCACGCCCCGGCGTCCTCACCCATGGGAAGCTCAGTTTTCGGGCCCCCCCCACACTCCAATTTCTGGCCCGACCCCCACCGACACCCCCCGCCGCGCCCCCACCACACCCCGGCGCCCTCACCCCACGGGAGCTGTGCTTTTCGGCCCCCCCGCACGATAATTCCTGGCCCGACCCCGACCGACCCCCCACCGCGCCCCCGCCACGCCCTGGCACCCCCACCCACCGAAAGCTCAGTTTTCGGGCCCCCACGCGACAATTTCTACCCCGAATCCCACCGAAACCCCTCGCCGCGCTCCCACCACGCCCGGGCCACCCTCACTGTCCTCGTTCTCCTCCTCCGCTGCGCTGCATAGGCCGCGCACCCGCATCGGCGCCCCAGCGAGCACACATTGTAGGCTGGCAGATCTCCACCCTTACCCCACCCGACGCGCCACAGGTACGTCGACTTATGTTTTTTCGTCGCCGACGCCCAACTCCTTTCGGCGACCTCATTTCTTTTGCGCCCCTCACGCACGAAGCACTTGTTGCACCTTTGATTCCCATCCGACTTCCTCGTTGTTCGCTCGGCCAACCAGCGGCTGAACTCCACCTCCGGCAAGACGGCCTTGCAGGCTACGCCTTTCCAACATCCGCGCTGCACCTTCGCCCCCGCGACGCAACGCTTGCACTTGCGGTCGCGCGCAGCCACGCTGGCCCACATGCGGCCCGAAAACGAATCACCACACAACGCACACCTTCGGGTGTCCAGCTGCAGCGTCGACGCAACGCTTGCACTTGCGGTCGCGGTTAGCCGCGTCGCCCCACTTGCGGCCCGAAAAGAACCCGCGCCGCTGAGACGCCCCACACACAACGCAGTCTTTCAAATTCTTCATCGCCGCAGCACCCCGCTCTGCAGCTGCCGCGTCGACGCACTGGGAGCACGTAATCGACGATTTGGAGGCGCGGCTCAAAATGCAAGCGGGAAACTATGCCTAAGTACCTTTTGGACTCGCCACACTTTGAGCATACCACCCATTTGTCTTCCTCGGCGCGATGCAACTCCTCCTCTCTCCCCAATTTCTTACACATCCTGCACTTGCGCTCGTCGCCGTTCCTCTCCGCCTTGGCAAACTCGTCCGCCAACTTCTCCTGGCCGCAACGGGGGCCCTTCATGTGTTTCTTCAGCTCTTCGCACTCCGCGCACATCCCTCCTCTGCACCGGCTGTTCCCTGCCAGTTCCCACTGATACGCCGCGAACGGCTCCTCGTACTTTCGAACATCGCACACGCGGCGTTTCCGTCTCTCGGGGCAGTTCATGCAGCGCCGCGAACTCAGCTTCGACGAGCGGTGCTGGGACGCGTGGAAGGCATCCTGGCCCTTCCACAGACCGCACTCCATGCACTGCCACGGAGTGCCTACACTCTTCTTGCCTTCCAGGCACAAGCTACACACGCAGAGACCGTCGTCGCGACTCCACTGCCCAAGAGCACACTGGTTCTTGTACTTCACTGATGAGCTCAGCGAACACCTCCCCGAAGGCATGAACTCCACCTCGATTGCATCCCAGTCCAACTTCTCTCCTCGCGACAATTGCAACAGTAGCGCGGGGCCCTTCCGTCCCCCCTGAGAGTAGGGCGCTCGGTCAAAGGGCCGAAAGATCAGCATATCCTCCCGCCGTCGAGCGCGCGTCAGTGCCACGTCACTGGGCAACGGAACGGCGACGTGTCCCCCCCAATTCTCAGGTCGACGATTACTCATTGCTTAAATGTCTGGCCTTGTGCTGAGTGGGCCGTCACCCCAAAGGCTGGCGCCAAGGGGAACTGTCGCCGTTGCACTTTCAAATGCGGATACGGGCGCCCCTTGTCCGCAACACTGCCAGCTCTTCTGAAGTCGGCGGCAGAAGCGGCAGCCTTCACAATAATAAAAAGAGAGGAGTGCCAAGGTGTTTGGACAGTGTGTTCATGAGAGAAGCCAATATCCGTCCACAAACGGGCGCTCTACCAGAAAGGTCCCGTCGGCCCGAGCAACCCACGGAATGCCCCTTGGTCAAACTCCAGCGGGAGGCCCGAGTGCGGCGCCCAGTGGCAGCTGGCCGTGTGCAGCAGTGAGACTGAAAGCAAGAGCGACAACGCCTGTGCCAACGTGAATACATGAATGAGCACGGGTGGGCAGGAGCGAATGGCAAAAAAAAGGAAGAAGCGAGAGGAGGCGTTGAGGCGAAGGCGTGTCTCTGATAGTAAGCAACCCATACCAAGAATGTGGGAAAGGAACGGCTCTGCGCAAGAGCACAGGTGAGGCACTGGGAGGGGCCAACATGTATTCACCGCGTCACTTGGTCGACCACGGAGCTTGGCGTGAAGATGGCCCAGCTTCCCAAGATGCTGGAGGCCACAATGTCGAAAACCAAACTCGGCACACCCCTCGGCAGACCAACCGACGGGCTCCCTTGATCAGGCTTCGCAGGCACAGTAGCTGCTGCTAGACGTGAGACCCGCCCAACCCTCGCGCGACTTCTGCTGGTGGTGCACGGGGCCTCTCCACCTCGACACGCCCAGGACCGCGCTGCCGCCGCGCCGGGCCCCGCGGGAGGAAGCGCCAAAACGAGCCACCGCAGGCCCAGCACCGCGCTCGCGCGGCGCGGGGGGCGCGCCAGCCCTCGCGCGCTCGCAGGCGCCACCACATCGGCCCAGCGCCCCTGCGACAGACGCGAGGGGCCCCCGACGCCATGATCCTGTTCGTGACGTCGACCCCCAGAGGTCTCGACCTTCTCTTGGCGGCGCGCACGAGGGGCAGGGGGAGGGGGAAGGCTTCCTTGAAGGAGGCCGCTTCTTAGAAGGCGCTGGCCCTGGATCTACAGAGAAGGCCCGCGCCTTCTCAGAAGCAGCGTGCTTCTAAGAAGCCTTCCCCCCTCCCCCTACCCTCCGCGCACGGCCGATCTCGACCCATTCACTGGGACCAGCCTCATCCTGACTCGTTTCTTGACGTTCTCGGGGCTGGGAAGGGCCCCCAGAAGCCGAAAAAGGCTAACAACCTCCTTTCTGTTTTGCTCCAAATCGCTCGCGCCCCTGCCGGGTGGCTGGGGCCCCTCAGGTGCGCGCCCAGCCCAAGCCCGCAGGCCCGCGGGGGGCACCCATAGGTCCGACGTCGCGGCAAAAGAATCAGCATCACGAAAGAATCACGACCGGAGCCCTAGTACCCATCGTTCTGCGGCATCTTTCGCGCCCGATCGATCCGTGATGGTCCCGGGACTGGAAGCCCGGCGAAACCGCCCGTCGGTAATAATATATCGCCCAGACCTCGGGGGTGGCCTGGGCCCCTGGGAGGCGCGCCCGGCCCAGCCACGCGGGCCGCGCCAGGGGGCGGAGCGCGGCCTCGCCGCTGAGCAGCACGAAGAAGGCGACCCAGTCGCGGCTGCAGCCGCGGCTGCTCGCGTCCAGGCACTCGCGCCAGGCCCCGAGCAGCTCCTCGGCGTCCTCTGGGCGGCACTCAGCCGAGCGCGGCCCGGAACGCTGGGGGCCCTGGCGATGGGAAGAGCGCCAGGCACACCCGGCGACGATCATACCACAGACATCTCCGACGCTCGGGTCTCCTCAAGCCTGGTGATGTTCCTCGACGTCGGCCACTGGGGCTTCTCGGGCCCCGTGGCCACCACAAGCGGCCCTGTGGTGAAGAACGGGCCCCGGGGAAGGAGTCGGGAGCTCTGGGGCAGTGGACGGAAAAAACACGTCGTCGGCTCTCCAGGAGCATACACCTACTAGGGCATTCTACCTGGGCACGGTCCGTCGAAGGCGCGGCAGGGCGAGTGCCATCAGGTTCCTCTGCCGCCGTACGCGACGAAAACATGTAAACAGACACCCTCCGATGAACTTTGCATGTACCTTCAAGGAGGGTGGTGGTGCATAAAATCGTCGGCTCCCAGTGGTGAATTACACACCGCCACCCTCCCGTGAGGCCCAGGGAACAATCCATTGGAGCGTGTCTGTGTATATCTGTATGTCTAAATATTCCTATTCATATATTTGTATAGGGCCGGGGACGCGGAAAAAGCCCACACAAACAGACACACACACACACACACACACACACACACACACACACACACACACATACACATATATATATATACACACACACACACCTAGCGAATTTGGCCCACCCTGGGGCCTTTCGGGCAGACCCCCAGACGACCTGGGAGGACCTCACGAGAGCCCGAAGACGGCCCCAGAGGGCCCCTCGACGTTCTGGAGCGCTCCGGAAACGACCCCAAAAAGCCCCAAGACGGTCGAAGACGACCCCGAAGGATCCGTCATACCCCTAACTCCAAAACGTCCCAACCTCTTCGGGCTCTCTCGGGACGCCTCTCGGAGCTCTCCTGGGGCCTCTTGGAGGGCTCTTGGGCTGTGTATTGGCCATGGTGGGCCCATCTGGAGCCACGTTGGGGCCATCAGGGCCGTCTTGGAGCGCCTTGGGGCCTCCCGCTCCCGCTCTGGGGCCCAGCTTGGGCCTGTCCTGGGGCTCTCTTGTGCCGTCTGAGGCTCGTCCTGGGCAATTTTCGGGCTCCCTAGTGCCATCTCGGGGCTCTTTTGAGGGCCTCTTCGGCGGTCTTGGGGCGGTCTTGGGGGCGTCGTCGGCCGTCTTGGAACGTCGGAAGGTCGAAAACGCGAGAAACCGAAAAACAGTTTTACAAAAAAAAAATCAAAATCAATGATTAGGGCCTCTTCGGGCTCTCTCGGGATGCTTCTCGGAGCTCTCTAGAGGCCTCTTGGAGGCCTCTTGGGCTGTGCATTTGCGGTCTCGAACCCATCTTGGGCACCGTTGGGACTATCTGGGCTGTCTTGAAGGGGCTTGTCGAAATCCCCGGGGGCTTCTGGGAGCTCTCTGGGGCAGTATGTGAGCTCCAGGGCCGCTCCAGGGTGCTCTGGGAGCGGTCTGGGGAACCCCGGTCCTCCCATGCCCCCCCGGGCCCCGGGCCCCGGGCGCCCGGGCCTCGTGCACGGGGATATATACTAGAACCATCACGCGCGCTTCGCGCGCGCTCAAGTTCTAGCTAGGCTGGATGGTCGAACTCTCGGGGACCTCTCTCTTATGATACTTCTTCTCCTGGGCTTCCAAAATCCACGAAGACGGCCCAAGTGGTTTCCAAGACTTCCGACAGTCCACCCATGGCGGCATAAGACAGGCCCAAGAGGAACTTCGGGTGTCCTTCCCTTCGCCGCGGCTGACGTAGCTGGAGGAAGAGGGAGGAAAAGGAGAGGCGAAGTGGTTCCGTGGGGGAAAAGGAGGGGATGATGATGATGATGATGGCGACGACGATGATGATGATTGAGATGATTGTGATGATGATGATGATGATGATGATGATGATGATGATGATGATGATGATGATGATGATGATGATGATGATGATGATGATGATGATGATGGTGATGGTGATGGTGATGATGATAATGATGAGGAGGAGGAGGCCGCAGAGGAGTAGGAACAGGAGGAGGAGGAAGAGGAGGAGGAGGAGGATATATGATCTGTCCTTTTTTGTAAGCGTAGCCAAGCTGCCAGGCGAATTTGAGAAAAAAGGAAATGTTGGAATCCACTTGTTTTCGGGGTCTCTTTTAGATCCCGTTGGCCCTCCTTGAGGCTTCTTGGGGGCCTCTTGAGGCCTCCTGGGGGTGTCCTGGGGCGAAAATCTCGGGTTCTCGGTTGACGTTCCCGATCCCGGGCCGCGGTTGGGACCCGCTCGGGCCGTCTTGAACGTCTCTTCGGCCGTTTCGGAGCCGTCGTGAGGCCGTCTTGGGGCGCTTGAGAAACATATTGCCCGTCTTGGGGCGATCCTCGGGGCCTCTTGGGGCGTCTTGCAGCGTTGGGAAGCGGAACAGGCGGAAACGCCAAAATTGTCCAAAAGCCTTCAGAAAATCAACGGTTGTTGGTTGTGGGTCCCTGGACCCCTTCTGGGGTCTGTCTGGCGCCATTTTTCGCCCGGAACCGTTTCAGAGGATCGCGAGGCCCATGGCCCATGAACGGCCGCACTGAGCCGAAGGACGAGTACGAGAGAGAGAGAGAGATAAAAAAGATAAACAAAAAAAAAGTGGGGGACAGGGAGGTGCGACGCACGGCTGGCCAGGATCACATATATGATCGTCGTGGAAGGGGGAGGGGGAGGAGGAGGTGCAGGAGGAGGAGAAGGAGGAGGACGAGGAGGAGGAGGATGAGGAGGAGGAGGATAAGGAGGAGGAGAGGAGGACGACGAGGACGAGGAGGAGGAGGAGAAGGACGAGGAGGAGGAGGAGGAGAAGGAGAAGTCGGGTGGTGGAGGATAAGGAGGTGGATGAGGAGGGGAGGAAAACAAGGAGGAGGAGGAGGAGGAGGAGAACGAGGATGATGAGGAGGAGGAGGAGGTGGAGCAGGAGGAGCAGCAGGAGCAGGAGCAGGAGGAGCAGGATGAGCAGGAGGAGCATCAGCAGCTGGAGGAAAAAAGGAGACCAGAGTACACCCTGGATGCACGGACGATGCTGTAGTATACCCTCCAGTCCCATGCCCGCTCCTCACGAGTCCTATCAAGCATTCCTTTTCGGAACCAAAGGCTTCCCTTTGAAAGATGAGTGCCCCATGGGCAATGGCGAACTTGAAACAAAGGAAATGTGTGAATTCCGTTTTTGCAAATGCTCTTCGGGCCTCTTTCAGGTTTGTTTTGGGCCTATTCGAGGCCCCTTGGGACCTCTTGGCGATTTCCTGGGAGCCTCTTGGGGGGGGCCTCTTGGGGCCAACTGGGGGCTCTTGGAGCGAAGATCTGGGGTTGTCCTTTCACGTTCCCCTTCTCGGGCCGCTGTCGAGGCGCGTCTGGGGCTCCTCGTGGGGCCGTTCGGGGTGTGGGGGCCATCCACAGGCCTCCGAAGCCCATCGGCAATGAACAGGCGAGTTCTTCAATCATTTGCTGTGTTCCGTTGGTTTTTCCCCACATGTTTCGTGGGGTTTTGGTTTTCTTCCCTGCCGCGCCGCACCCGCGACACTCACACCTCACTCTTCCCCTCCTCCTCCATCTCCTCACAGCACTGCTCAGCACAGCTCAGCTCAGCTCAGCTCAGCTCAGCACAGCACAGCACAGCACAGCGCAGACCACAGGGGGTGCGCTGGGGGGGAGGTCCTATGCGCTGCAGGCTCCCAGGGCGCGGCAGGCGTGGCATTTCCTCCACGCCACAGGGGGTTCGCTGGGGGTGGGGATCCTATGCGTTGCAGGCTCCCAGGGCGTGGCAGGCGTGGCATTTCCTCGACGCCGCAGGGGGTGCGCTGGGGGGGGGGGCCCTATGCGCTGCAGGCTCCCAGGGCGTGGCAGGCGTGGTATTTCCTCGACGCCACAGGGGGTGCGCTGGGGGTGGGGGCCATATGCGCTGCAGGCTCCCAGGGCGTGGCAGGCGTGGTATTTCCTCGACGCCACAGAGGGTGCTCTGGGGGTGGGGGCCCTATGCGCTGCAGGCTCGCAGGGCGTGGCAGGCGTGACATTTCCTCGACGCCACAGGGGGTGCTGAGGGACCACCCCCTGCGCACCGTCTCTGGTGTCGCAGCCTCTATGCGTAACAGGCTCGGAAAGCGTTGCAGGCGTGGCACTTTCTCGACACCGGAGGGTGTGCACAGGGGGGGATCCCTCAGCGCGGCCTCTATGCGTGCCAGGGTCGGAGAGCGTGGCAGGCGTGGCACTTTCACCATACCAGAGGGGGTGCACACGGGGTGGTCTCTCACCGCGGCCTCTATGCGTGCCAGGGTCGGAGAGCGTGGCAGGTGTGGTATTTTCTCCATACCAAAGGGGGTGCGCAGAGAGTTGTCACCCTCCGAGTGGTCGCCCCAGAGGTTGGTCTGGCTGGTCTGCTTGATTGGCCTGGCAGGCTGGTCTGATTACTTTGGCTGGTTATGGTTGGAACGAATGATCTGGCTGGTCTGGTCAGTCTGGCTGGTCTGGCTGATCTGGCTGGTCTGGTCAGTCTCTCGTCAGGATGGCGAAGCGGGATGTGACATGGTTTGTGAACACACGTGAATTAAAATTACGCCAACGAGGAACCCCACATACTTATATTATGGCTGGAGTGATGATAGCTGAAAAGAAGCATGTGAGAATGATGTTGGTGGCCGTTCCCTGCGCGCCCCCTCTGATGTCGAGAAAATGGCACGCCTGCTGCGCCGTGCGAGCCTGCAACGGATAGAGACCGCACCCCACGCGCACCCCCCTCTGTTATCGAGACTTTGCCATGCCTGCCGCGCCCTGCGCGCCTGCAACGCATAGAGACCGCACCCCCTGTGCACCCCCTCTGGTGTCGAGAATTCCCCGAACATTCCCACGCCTACATGCCTGCGCACCTGCAGACGCATAGAGACCGCACCCCCTGCGGCACCCTTTCTGGTGTCGAGAAATGCCGCGCCTGCCGTCCCTGCGCGCCTGCAACTCATAGAGACCGCACCCCTGGTTTCACCCCCTCTGGTGTCGAGAA